GCTGACTTTTTTTTATTCAAGGTAATACTAGATATTTATTTTTATCAAAAATAAAATAAATAATTTTTAATATAATACGACAATTGTTGTTAATTTCAAGAATACGACCAAAAAGGTCAGTGGGGTTACGTAAAATTCTACACAGACTAATAGAAAATGTCTATTAATAAATTTTTACTCTTATTAGTAGTCGGTTTTTGGTAGAACATATTGTAAGGAATATATAAATGAAAATTATTATAGAAAAATAATCTAAAATTAATATATAAGCCTATAAAATTCCTAATAAAAATTTGTACGCTGACATTTTTTTAATGGATGTTTATGATATGATATATGGTGCCCACAGAAGATACTGGCATTGTACCATATCAGGTCGGCCGCTAACGTGATAGGGATGAAGTCAGGTCAATTTGCTTTATTATTAGCCCATCGTAGCGAATTCGTATAATGGGCTAATTGACATGACTTTCTCTTTATCATATCAGCGATCAACCTGACAAGGTAGTCCCAACTACTAATAATCTTATCCCTCCCCAGATCTTTGAAAAACTGTAATACATTTACTTTGCATGCCTCTACACTAATGGGTTGTATGTATAAGAAACTAAGTGGCTTTCTTTGAATAAATTGCATATTTATGAGTTCCTCCTTGGGGGTATGTTAATCTTGATTAAAAGATCAGTTGGATTACTTGCACAATGCTTTCTAGGGATTTGCAATTTGTCACATTGTCGGTGTACTTACTCAATGCTAATTAGTTATACTACGTCGAATTAATTAGCACGGATTTATATTTGTTTAATTTCTGTGTATACGAGTATTACAGTAATTCTACAGTACCTACCTTTAGTTAATAATCCATGAGTTCATTTCATATCATTGAACCATGTTAAAACCACAAGGTCCTAAGGGTACTATAAACCAAAACACTACTCGTGTATATAAGGTTTATTGGTCGGTTTCAAATACAGGTACAGCTACAAAAAATATTACAAATAACATATGAGAAATCAATAAAACGAAACATTAGCGCGTTTCAATTTTGTTACAGCGCCATCTATTGGCGTTGAATGCAAACACTATTGTTTCACACTTATTATCTATTTAAACCTTTAACACTTACTATTCATTCAGTTCATTGCATTAACCAATGTGTACGTATTTCTAAAATTCTTTCATTCTTTGACGGTACGTTGTTTTAGAATCTGTCCTAGCCTATATTAACCTAGAATCTTGGTGAACATATGCCTAATGATAACTGAGAAATATTGGGATGAATAGCTATTTATTAGATAAAAACCTATTTTATTATGCAGTCCACTCACTTCCCATTTATTAGCTTAATAATATGAGTTGTAAAATATATTGGGTTGCGTATAATATGCTTCATGTGTAGTTGTAATATTGGTAAGTAGTTTAAAAATATGTTTTTATGATGAATACAAAGACTCCTATTTATCGGATTTACGATTTGGTTTCACGTTCTGTTGCCAATGTCGTGAAGACTCGTAAATGATTGAGTAAAAGGTGATTGATCGAGTCGTGAGACAGCACTAGTCGTGCCGATTGTATCTATCGATTTACAATTACTGGTGAGCTTTGATCATCCATCCGAGGACGTGTGCGGTAATGGTTGGCTGACATTTGACATTATTTCGGAGATCGAAATGCAACATGTTTAATTACATTATGTGAAATTTCGTTACGTGAAGCACTATGTTGCGAACGATTCAGCATTTTTTTTTATAGGACGGTAAAACACATTTTAAATTTTACAGAACCAACTTCAAGTTAGAAGAAGAATCGAGATATAGAAAAAATATATAAAATGACACAATGTTGTTGTGTTACTATTTAGCGTGTTTGTGAAAAATTGCTGTATTGTGTATCCGTTTTTTTATATAAACTATAATTTATCAAGTAATAGTTTTCGAGTTATTATATAATTATTTACTCGTATTTTTATATTTACACTTATTTCAATAACAGAGCCAACACAGAGTTTTATTGTCGAAAAGATAAAAATGGCTTCCGCTTTTCAACCGACTCCATTAATACAGGTGATCCTTACTAATATTATAAAGAGGAAGGATAGGAATACTTCTACATGATCTATGATGACTTTAAATTAATATTAATTTAATATTTTCAAAAACATTAGGGATCCGTATGAAATCTTAGATATGATAATATAAACCAACTTGTGAAAAAAATCGTTATATCGCGTACGCGTTAAGGATGTCAATATCAAAGTGTATATATATGTAAAAAATATATTTTTTGAAATTATTATATATTGTTAAATACCTTTAAGAAGCAGAGGCAGTAATAAACATAATTAGTCTGAACATAATTTTATATCTATATACAATTATATAGGTATAGGTGTTTCAACATTTTATATATTTCTATAATTATGTTCTATATATCTTTATTTTTCATAATTACAGTTGTCTTCTCCTGAAAGTGGATCTTGAATATTGGCAACCCTACACACGGAGAAACCTTTCCGCTTGGCAACACCACACGACACAATAAGCAGACGTGACCGGGTTTCAGCGGACGCTGTAAATAATATTCAACCCCGAAAACCGTTTGGTTATTTACAACGAGAGTGGAAAAGTTATTTATTAATAAGTAAACCGGCATGCGAAACGAAACACAAAACGTTTTGACAGCATTAAAGTCCTATATGCTATTCAGATATAATATATTCTGTGAATTAATTTGTATAAAAGGTACGCAAATATAAGCTCAAAATGTGCTTGATAGTAATTATATTATTTTAATTAGATCTTATAATAGATTTAATTAAAAAATTATGTTACGTTTAATTTTATTTACAGGTTGATTCATAGCTTGGCGACCTCGGTGGTCTAGCGGTTTAGCACACCGCCTTACTTGGTCGCGGCCTCGATTCCTCACATTGCACAAACTTTTATATTCATGAGTATGATTGTTTGTATCGGTTTGGATGTGTTCTATGTATTTATTAAAGATAATATATCTGTGTATTTGTATCAGTTATCTAGTACCCATAACACAAGCTTTATCTAGCTTAACTTGGGTCTAGATGGCACTGTGTAAATTGTCCTGAGATTATTATTTAATGCAGAACATTTTATTTATAATGTTTAACGTGTTATTAACGTTTAATTGTAGTATTGGTCAATTTTAATTTTATTTAAATAAGGAAATATTAATAATTCCGTGATAATAAAAATATGAAATAAATAACGGTCTGCGAAGAATATTCGCCTAAACTGCTCACAGGAGGAGTTAAGGAAAGCATCATAAACGATACAGGAAAAAGGTTTTCGTAAACGAGAGCAATATAATTTGTTAGTATTGTGTTGTACCATATTGATAGAGTTAAATATCTAATTTGAAAAGAATAACTTCTTAATGGGCTAATTCCGAACTGAATCCTTTTAAAATCCTTTTTAAAAATTCTTGAAAGCAATCAAACTGTTTTTTTTATATTTTACTTTTTCATTCAAAGCACAACAGATATAATGACAGGCCAGAAATTCAGCAGAGTGCTGAATAGGGAGGGTCGTTTACGTGACTCGTTTACAATAAGGACGAGAATCGTCGAGCACGTACGCACCTCGCGAGATTGTTAACTAAGTTAGAATGTTTTCACACAATTATAGCTGTCCAGAAGAAAACTAGTTAGATTAGACTGGAACTTTTTGTCGGTTCTCGTTAGTATGGGAGTAAATAAGATTTTTTATTGTTTAGGTAATAAATATATCTAAAATAATTGACAAACAATATGATTACTTACGTTATATAAAAAAACCTTTATACAATATTACAAGCTTGTTAGATTATTTTTATTAAACTGATATTATATGATATATACCTAATCGATGAAAAGGTTTCGCCTATAGACATAGCTAAATACATTGTGAACTGCGTGGTAGGTACTTGTCTTCTCTGAGATCTATCTATCTAGTATCCTATTGACGAATTAAAATTAGTTAGGTATATAATTTAAAAGATTTAAGCGTTTAGACAATGTCGGCGACTTTGTATTATATGTTTTATATCTATGTAAAGAGGAATTAATTATCTTTGTATATTTAATTAATAAATACTATGCCTACCAAAGATTAACTAACTTTATCTACAAGCGACGCTTCTTGAAAATAGCTATTATGGGCTGTGCTTAATTTCGCAATGTAATTACTGCGAAGCCCGTGGCAAACAGAGGATAATTTAACTAGGTTCTGGAACATTCGCTCGCCTTTGCCATTACTTAGGTATTCATGAAACCTACAATACAACATGACACGCTTTGTGACTACTAAATTTAATTTGACATATATAATGTATTTGGTATAGCAATAGTTCCATAATTTTATCATGTATTCTAAATCATGTACTCTGGAATTCAATTATTTACCTAAATTTCAACTTGAAGGGTGAACTTAGATTGCTCGTAGATTTTAGTTATCAATCACGTATAATGTATCACTATGGTCAAAATATCCAAGAATGAAATAAGAAGTAAATAAAAAATATACCTTTCAATATACCTAATATATCCTGAAGAGGAACGATAAGAGGTGGAAATCCGGTCACTTATCCTAATCCTAACCCTAAGCTGATTAACCTAACCAACCATTGTGGAGTGGTCAACCTGATTCCCTGAACCTTAATATACTCTAAATTAGTAACAATGCTAACTAGACATTACTCCGGCCTAATATATCTCGTGACTATGTAATATCTTTAGAACGGTGCGGTGGTAGGTATTATTTCCACCTTACAACTATACTCGTACAAATACCTTAACAATATCACAGATCAGATGATATGACAATATAATTGTGAAAGTAACTTTGTACAATTGTTATCCGTAGACGTCTTAATAGCTCTACTAAGTTTTAGGAATGTTTTCAGCAGTTTGCTTCCAACAGTTTATTCATATCACTTAAAACTCAAAAAAATGTACAGTAGATCTGTAAATAAAAAATAGTTGTCTTTACCTTAATCATGGCCTTCAGCATAGGATATCTGGTGAACACATTCCTCTGGGATTTCGATTCGCTGTACCGCGCCATCAAGGTTACGAGTGCCTTCTTCGCCGTGTCATAGTTCTCATCGAGTCTTACTCGTACCGCCCGAAGCCTCTCATTCGTTTCGATCACCTCTTCCTTTGTCTGCCCGCCTGGTAATAATATTTCAATAAGTATCAGGAAGAGCAAACTAGCTAATGGAAATTACCAATCATCGGCTATCATCAACGATGTTCACTCATGATATCCTATCGCCAAGTAACGTCCTTGGTATTCCTCATATCCAAACATTGTGGTGTCCCATCAATTAAACAAACTTATTTCAACTAAACAAACAATAACAGTAATAGCAGAATGTAAAATAATATTCACAACTCTCGCTCCAATACTATAGTATCCAGAACCTCATTCTGTCACAAATTGGTACATAATGGTATTTCTTTTAGTTTTCTTTGAAAAGTTTTCACCAACAAACTAATGTGACAACGTAAATTATCACGTACAGTGCGATTTCAAGGGAGTTTCCTCTAGCGAACGCTCAGGTTGTGAAATGAGCTCCATGCCGAGGTTTTCCCCAGAGGCATGGTTCTTCAAAAGGGCGTAATAAGATTTCTTCAGGGTCGACAACGTGCGTGATGTGATATCTCTGATAAAGAGAGCGTTTATAGCCCAGTAAACGGATACTGTACCGATAATGCTCCAAATAGTGAACCGTCTCAACTTCATTCGATTTCTTTTTCACTTGTAATTCTTTAATATTATCCATACATGCATAAATACAAAATTTATATATAAAAACGACCTAACTGGTATTGTCGGCAAAATTAAACGTTTGTTTTTTACGTGTTAGCCGCTTCTTTAATATGTATAATGATAATAAAATACCCTTTTTAACGTAACTAGAATGGCAAATAAGCTGACGGTAGGTACTTAGTGGTAAGTGGCAATTATCGCTACGGAGCGCCACGGATCGTGTGACGTCGTCACGTGATGCCCGTAGTACCTCTATTGCGTTGTCATTTCGGAGGTCTATAACTAAGAATACATCATACATATATCATATCTTCGAATACGTCTCCAGCAGTGGGATACCAATGAGTTGTAATGATTATATAAAAAATATATTATATATACTAGCTTAGTAGTGAGATTACATTTTTTATGTACTGTTAGGCGGCTGACCCCGTTTGGTTTTTTAAAAAAAAACCTTTTTAAAACACAACACAAAAGTCACTTGATTTCAGATAGTTTATTTCGAAAATCTGGTTTCACAAGTTATTATATTAACAAACTTATCCCAAGCTGTGTAGGTGCAAGTGAAATGAGTTATCGACGCGGACTGACTTGACTAAGTCTAAACTGTTTTTATATAACGATGTAAATCGGGAATTATTCAGGCTCAGCATTTTCTTTGTACTGGGCTCGGGCATAACACCTCCCTCCTTAAGACGAAGGTCATCTCTTGAGATGATCGAAGTTAAAGATGAAATGGGATAAATTTGTTTTACAAAATATGGATAATCATTAATTATAAAGTAAGTCATCAATAAGGATAATGTTATAATAACGAAATTACAAAACAATAAAGAATGTTAAAATGAGTTATACAAAATAATGGTTATTAAAACTATAGACAGAGTCAATTCTTATAGGTAGTATTCTAGAACAAGTATTAAAAAAATACAAACTAATATTTAATTATAAAATTCTTTAAACATTACATATCTAAAATTAATTCAGTATTGAACTTAAAATATATTAAACTTAATTGTTAAGAATATTTCTGCTAGAGGCTGCCTTGCGTGTAGTGAGGATACCTCTTTGATAGCTCTGATAATCTGGTGCAGACCTTATAGATATTTGGTCGTTTGACATTTCATTCAATTCTATGCTTTGATTTGATTTAGAATCAATAGTTTGAGTACAACAATGATTAAATATTTGTATGCAACAATTATCTGATGCACGTTGTTGATTTCTTTTATTTTTATGAAAATGAAATAATTTATAAATACAGGAGAAAAACATTGTTACAATTAAAATATATGTAAAGGTTGAGTAATAAGAGCCATATTTAATTATGTGAGGTTGAGCTTGTATTTTATTGATTTCCTTTTCTAAGTTATCTAATTTATGTGAGGCATGACGAAGAGATTCTAAATTAATATTAGTTAAAGAGATCGGTGATAATAGATGCACGGAGTCATTGAATATGTCTCTTTTACAACAATCGTCTAATGTAATGTCGAAATTTATATCTAATTGACTTTGAATAGAGATTAGATTCGTGGAACTAGGCGTTAATTGAATAGTTTTACAAAAGGCGACACAATTGGCTGGTAAGGTGAGTACACCTGTACCGGACAACTGAGTATCTTTAATTTCGTTATCACATTTTATTGATAATTTGGTAGGTTCCGACTGGACATAGATCCACCTGTTATTATTAATATTTTGCCATATATCTATGTGTCCATATATTAATTTATAATTACAATCTGTAGGCAATTTTAAGTTTACATCAGTAAGTAGTCGAGTTTCACAAATTGGATTATATATTGTAGAAAATGTAGATAGGTAAGGACATATGAAATATAGATTATTTACGTTATTACAATTATTTATGTCATCGAAAGAACTGTAACTCAGTCTATCATCCGTTACGGCTAAATATGATTTGGTAGGGTGAATTAAAGCAAATGTTGACGGTCGGTTCACATCGTGCGGAGTTGGTAATGGGATGCATTTATAAACATTGTACTTAATCGGAGAGATAAGAGGAATTTGTATAATGAAGATGATTTTGTTGTTATAATAATAAGAAGTTAGTTTAGATATGTCGATTATTGTGTGAATATTATTTATGTTAAGAGTTATTGGGAAATCTAATTTTTTATTTATGGAACCGGAGTGTTTTTCCAATTCTGTTAATAAGTTCATAGGACTTATTACAGAAGGATGTAGAATATTAATTTTAGAAAATAGAATAGAATTAAGGATAGAATCAAGGATATTTGATAATGTTAATAGAGAGCTTTCGATTATATTAATGTAGCTATTCAATCTAAATATGTTTTCGAGTGCATTATTATAATTAGAGTAATTTGAGAACATGCTGTTCATTAAATTTATTTGATGATTTAGCTTTTCTTCGTTATCATTGAGTTTATATATAGATGAATTGAAAGCATTTATTGACGATTGGACAACGTGTATGTTATCTTTCATGAGATTGAGTATTTGCGTCTCGTCTTGTTGACATGTTGAGATCGCGGCATCATACTTTCTAGCATCGTCAGCATCCAGAGTACCGAAAAAGAATTTAAGAATTTCGCCGCCGAACTCGAGTGACCGCTTGTTTATTCTGATTGATGAATTAGTAGATATAATATGCGATAAGGATTGAAATTTAATAGCATTTGATCTCAATAAAACTTTGACGGGGTTCAGTATATCGTTACAATCTACGATTTAAGGTTTAAAGAGCTGTGCTCGTATACACATATTAAATGTGTCGTCTACATATTTAGTTAATGATTTTAGACGAGGTTGAATGGATACTATGTCTACGTGGGTTATTATTTTCCAATAGTCATTATAAAAATAAACTGGATTCTGTGCATCGAAGTATATTCCTGGACTATGAATGATTGGGTTTATTACCGCTTCTGTGTGGCAAATTGGAGGCCACAGCCTGAAATAATAAAGAAGAATTTGTTACTTTAAGGATGAGCCGGTTTGATTTCATTTACATGGTACTTTATGTATCTACGTCCTACTGATAATGTCACGTTGTGACTGCCGTTTAGTTTAATTATTTTGTAAGGGCCCTTCCATATTGGTGATAGGGCCTTGCGTAGGCGATGATGGTGTTTTAGGTATACCATATCTCCGATTTTATAATTAGTAATTCGGGATGATCTGTCATAATAATTTATCGAAGATAGTTTACTTCCCTCTATATATTCTATAGCCTTTTTTCGAGATAGTTTCATGCGATATTGGAGAGCTCTTATATACTCCTGATATGTATTATTATCGTTGGTTTCGTATAACGAACTTGGTATTGAAGGTTTGTGTCCGTAGAGTAGTTCGAATGGTGTAAATTGAGTCGTTGTATGGGGAGTGGTATTATAAGCTAGTATAGCTGTGAATAAATAGCAGTGCCAATCATTTTGGTTTTCGTTAACGAAAGACTTTAAGTATTCTTTCAGTGTAGCATAGCTACGTTCAAGGGCACCATTTGTTTGGGGATGATACGGAGTGGAAAATATAGATTTTATTTTACAAATATTGGTCACTTGTTTGAATAGTTCAGATGTAAAGGGAGTGCCTTGATCGGTTAAAATAGTTTTGGGAAATCCGAAGAGGGACATAAAATGTACAAGGTTACCAGCAATTTCTTCTGTGGTGGAGGTAATCATAGGATAAGCACTAGAGAATTTAGTTAAGTCGTCTTGTAAAGTTAGTATGTATTTAAATTTTTGGATACCGGATTCGGAAAGAGTTCCTACTATATCGAGGGCGAGTCTCTCGAAGGGTTTAGTACTAGTGGATGTTATTTCCATTGGAGCCTTATTACTGCATCTCAAAGGCTTATTTAGTTGACAGACTTGGCAAGATTTTACAAATTGTTCTATGTCAGATCGCATTGATTTCCAGTAATATTTGTTTTTTATACGATTTAGCATTCTTTTAATGCCGGGGTGCCCAGCAATAGGAGTACCATGATTCTCTTGGAGGATTTTTGAGATTTCGGGCGGAGATGGGTATATGAGCGTGTTTTTATATATATGTATTTTTAAGTTGGTATTATGAAACACGAATGCAATTATATTATAGATTTTAGTATAAGATAGTTTAGAAAAAGGTTCAGTGAAATCTGATATAGCAAGTTCAGTGGCACCGATATTTTCGGATAAAATTTCGTCTCTAAGTTTCATTAATAAATTATAAATAATGCGATAAGGAGTTTCCTGATAATGATGAACTTTTGTATATAAGAAATAGTACGTTTTATTATTATATTTAATCGAGTGCACCGTGTGAACTTCGCGTTCAGCTGCTAACACGTCAGCGCTGTTCTCTATTTGAGACAATATTTGTCGACAGTATGGCATCGAATTATCAAAATCTAGAGATGTGGGACATG